GAAGGAAATGGGGTCCGTACGGGAGCCCATCACTGGCCAAGCTCTGTCAGGAGATACCTCCTGGCCTGACACGGCCCTTCTGCTGAAGCAGAACCAGGTAGCCCCAACTGTAGGTTCACCATTCATCATCTGCAGCACAAAGACCTTAAGCTCTGCCAACTCAGTTAATAGGAATAAGCTCGTCCTTACAGAAACATTTAAACCAGTCGCTTCTCTGCACTCACATTGTCCTATCCAAACAAAACCGAGCATTGGACACAAGGGGAACATCCACAGCATGCAGGCAGATGCCCCCAAATGTGCTAAATTTGCATTTAAAGATCTCTCTGTCACTTCTCAGTTTATGTCCTTGCAAATGCTTGATGACCTCCTTGGAACCAGTCTTTCTTGTGATGCCGTACCATGTCACTTTACGCAAAGACCCTGAATGCAGAGCAAATGTCATCAATGGGACGTGAACCTTCAAATCCTCAGCCAACACCTGACTGAACAGAGGGATTCCCAGCCATAAACAGCATAGGTTATATTTGTTTTAAATCACAAATGATATAATGCTGCCACTGGCTTTCCATGCACAGGAATACCAAACTTGGATATGACTCCAAAATAGGGTTTTCCACTAAATATGGTCTTTGCCCACTTGTTCCAGCATTATGGGTGACTAACAGCATTGTGGGTGAGTATCGAAATGCTAACATCATTTTGGATGAGCTGCATTACCAAGAAATATGGGGGTACACAGATCTCCCAGATATTCCTACACTGCACCGTAACAATTCAGCAAGTCCCTTTTACCTTGTTTTTTTTTTTTTTGGGGGGGGGAAACAAGGGGCAGAGAAGGGGTTGCTGTGGTTTTGTTTGGTTTGGCTATTTTTTTCCCCAATTGTTTGAAGCAAGCCTTGAGAAACATTGGTTTCAGGAAGGCTGACACACTGTCAGCAGTTCTGTGGGTTTTATTTTTTACTTTCTGCTAATTGCAGCGGGGGTTTTTCACTGATTATCATCAGTGGCACATTTATAATGCCTATGTCAGTAAGCGCCTAATGAAGTGAGCTGAGATTTACCATCTCTGGTCACAGTTAGTTGCACTTGTGAAGCTGGATACCTATAGCCAGGTCGTGAACGCAGCACAGGAACCTGGATGAACGCACTTCCATCAGAGATTTCTGGAGAGCCAGCAGTGGCAGAGCCCATTCACCATCACCACGTGGCTGGTCTCCTGCTGGATTTCTCTCCTGCTCACCCACAATGTACCAACAGCTGAGGGTTTCACCTTCAGGTGAAAACTTACCAATGTCAGAATGTGTGGCATGAAGCCACAACCCAAAGCACAGCTCTGTGGGCACAGCGTAGCACCTGTGCCCCTCACCCTTTCTTGTTCTCACCAGGCGTCAGCAGAAAGTAATTTTGAGAATCCCTTCTGTCACTGAGCACATCTCCCATTTTGTCAGCTAAGGGAATTACTCTTGATTCAGACAAGACACAAGCTAGTTCTCATGCGCTTCTCATCTCTTATTGCCCAGTCCATCCCAGACTGTAGGGAGATCTTCGAGACCTGGGCACACCGAGTCAAGCCAGCGTGACACAACCAGTGTGGCTGCCTTGCTCCAAGCAGTAGTTGGTCGATAGGATCCTGGACCACGCACTGTTTTCCAACAGTGTGAAACTTCCCTTTCATGCCTTTCCTTTACCTCTACGCTTTCCTGTGAATTATTATCATATCTGCAGTGCGTTTCCCAACCGCTCCTCAAGCGCAATCTCTCTTTCCCAAGAGCACTTCTCAATGGCAGAACTTGGGCTGTGTGGGCATGGGAGGCACTGACACATCTCCCATCTGTCAGACTTTCTCCAGCCGTTGCTGGGAACTCCTTCAAAGGCAAGGATGAGAGATATCAATCCTTACAGGATATCCTCAAGAAGGGCAAGACGCGCATCTAGGCTTGGGACCCCACGTCCAAAGAAGATGGATCTCCCAAGAGCAGTACTCAGCTGTCCTCATCAACTCCTTTCCCCACTCTTTCTTGGTATGGTCTCCATGAGTTGAGAATCAGTTCTCTGGCTTCTCCAGAAAAAGACTCCTCTTTTCACATGTGCCTCCAAGCCTCCCAAACTCCTCAGTGGTTTCCCTGACGTAACGAAATTGAGATCAGCCTTGGAAGCCCATGGAGCATCTTGTTGATTGGAAGATTTCCAGGTTTGGTTCCAAAGACTTGTAAAATGTACCAGAAAGTTTTTAAGGTCTGATGAGCCCTCCGGGCTTTGCTGTTCCACAGATTCCCTGAGCCACCTTGGGAAAACCACTTCCTCCATCTGTACCTAGTGGAAGCAAAGAGCAGCTTCCTCAGTCCCGTCTTTTCCCATCAGACAGAAAACCTGTGGCCTAAAACTGAACTTTTACATCCCTCTGAGAATGTTGAAACCCCGATGCAGATAGCACAACCACGTGGCTTCCCCCCACAGCTAGGAATCCAGCTCCACCTGATCTCAGCAGATTTGGCTCCCCCAGAGTCAGATATTCGTCCCCTAAACATCCCCAGAGCCCTTTCCAGAGCCAAGGCTGTGAGCCCCGTCAGCATCTTGGAGAAGTGGCAGCCCTGTGGCAGGGCAAAGTGTTACCATGTAGGTAAAGAAGAGCAAACTCAAGGCACCTGTGAAGCCTGGAGCCTTGACCTCTATGGTCCCAGTTAGTCACAGATCCTTTTCTGGTTTTCCTCCTGTGCGGGTGGGACAGACTGAGGGACTGACGCTTTCCCAGCTAGCCAGCCAGCACTGGGGTTTGGGATCAGGCTGCATCTCGCCAGCCTTGCATGTTATCCAGAAAACAACAAAGCTGGGAACACATTGTGGATGACATTCACACAGGGATTGGTCCCACCTGGGAACACTCTTGGGACCAGATGCCCCGTGCCAACACAGTGCACATGAGACATTCCCCCCTCAGGTGGGACATAAATCCCTTGGGGTTCCTACCTGCCCACCTACTGCCCTGTGCTCACACAACATACGGACACGTGCAACCCAAACTCCACGTCCTGTGGCTGCAAAGCCTCACGTTTGGGGATACGCGTGGCTCCACTGCACCACGCAGGAGGGAGACGTGTCTGACCTCATCCCACTCTACCCTCACGTAGACAGGGACCCCCGTGACCCTGCCATCCCAAGTCCTCCATGCAGGCAGGGACACGAGCAGTCCCAACCTCCCCATGCAGGTGAGTGCTCCAAGCAGAACAGGGCAGTAGCCCTAACCCCTCGGTTCTCCCATATGGAAAGGGCCACGCAGCCCCACCTCACCATTCCCCAAGAAGGAAAGGATGTTCCTGGAGTTCAAGGAGGTGGGGACCCACGGCCCCATCCCACCCTGTCCATCAAGTCGGCACAGAACGTGTGGCCCAACCCTTCCCATACACCACACAAGCGGGGACACGCACAGTCCCCATCACGCAGCGCCCTCAACGCAAGAAGAGACAGGAGCAGCACAACCCCTTGACCCCGCCACACCCCGCAGGCAGCCGCAAGCCTCGGCTCCCCCCGTGCAGAGGGGACAGGCGGATCCCGGCTCACGGATCAGCAGAGCTCCGATCCCCGCACCGCACACGCGTGTTCCTCCCCGGCTCCGCCACCACCGCAGCCCCCACGCAGGCGCGTCACGCGTAGAACCGATCCGCAGCCCTCCGCGCAGGCCACCAGCACCCCCCGGCCCCCCGCGCAGGGGACGACAGGAGCGCGGCACTCACCCGCCCGGCGGTGCGGAGGGCAGTGCTGCGGGGCGGGCCGTGCCGGCATTTACATGGGGCTCGGCGCCCGCCGCCGCCTATAAGAGCGGGGCGCGGGCCGGTGCCTGCCGGGAGCCGCCGCCGCCGCCAGCAGGTAGGTTGCTGGAAAGCCACCGCCGCGCCGCCCCGCCCCGCCCCGCTGCCCGCCGGGGAGCCCCGCTGCCCGCCGGGGAGCCCCGGTGCGGCCCCGGCCCTTCTCGAGCTCCGAGGAGCCGGCGCTCCCCGCGCGGCTGTGTGGGTCCCGGCTTGGTGAGCGTGAGGAGGAAAGGGCGAATCGCCGTCCTAAATTCAGTTCTTCCTTATCTCGTTTTGACCCTCTTCCGAAGGTGGCAAAATAAAGAATGTCTGCACCCCCGAGCTGCAGCGCTAATTGCTCGGTGTCCGAGGGTGAGGGATGGCCCTCGGAAGTTTTAGTGGGAAATACCGATTTGCAGCCCTCAGCAGCCCGATCTAGGATTGCTGCTGACTGCCGCGAGGTTTGGGCTGGACTTCCAGCCTGACACGTTCTATGGCAGGAAAATGTGATTTCTGTCCCTGGAAAGTACTAAGGTTTCAACATCCTGCCTCCCTAGCGCTTCTCCCTTGCCAGTACAGAATATTTTAAAAACAGATAAACGTGTTTTCTAAATATCTATTTCTTCTGAATGACTGAACTCTTCCTTGAGGACGTCTTTTGACTTCTTGTCTCTGTACACGGACAGAGGAAATGATGGGGGCTCTGGGGCTGCATGCGTGCTTCTGCATTGGAGGATGCTTTCCAAAGTGCAGCAGCTTCTGTTTCTTCTGCCCTGAGCTGCAGGTCCCAGTTTTCCACTTTCAAGCTGTGAAAATGTCAAGGAATTGGTCTCCTGTGCAGGGATTCAAGCAGGAATTGAGGTTGGGCTGGCAGCAATAGAAAGCACTGTTTCCCTGGGAACTCCCCCAAAAACTACTCTTACAAGCGTAGAGGAAATGCAGGAATCCTTTGATACTGCTTGAAAGTTAAAAATGGATTAAAATGGAAACATTTTTCATGTCACTGGAGTTTTAGTTCTTACTTGCTGCTTGTAGTCTGATCATTTTAATTTGCAAAGGGTTGCGTTTTGGTGGATGCGGTCAGGGAAAGCATTCCTTTCCTCCAGACACCTTTTGGGGTCAGGTCAAAGACAGTGGGGAGAGTGACATTCAAGCAATCAAGACTTGACTAAATAAGTCTAAATGAGTTGTTTATTCCTGCTCTTACAGCCTCTTGGACCGTCTGTGGGCACTTTGCTGGAACCCTGCGACTGGACTTGAACCTAATATTGGAACTCAGTTACAGCTCCTCCTTGTCAGGTAATCCTAGTGCAATGGTGCTGCAAGGCTGGCCATCTCTGTGCTTAGCTGTCCAGGGAAATATGTTGGAATAGTTACAGCGAAACAACGCAAGCTGAGCTTTATAAGTGTGCTTGATGGCTCTGTTATGCTGGAACTGAGCGTCCGAATGAGAGCTGGAGCGGTCATGAGGCAGGCAATCTCCCTGCAAAACCAAGTGTCTGTTAAATTGCTTGCTGTAATGGTCTCTGTTTCTTGACAGAGAGGAAACAAAGTGTTGCTTTTATGGATTAAGAAGTGAATTCAGCTGCCCCCAAGAAATTGATTTAAGATCTTTACTGTAATTTCCTTCCACTTCTGGGGATTTGAGACTCACACTTCAGTGGCTGAATTGCTTTGAGTTGGATCTTACCTAAAAATGTGATAATTATTGTTTTCAGAAAATAAGAAAAAAATCAACTCTCCCATGCAAGGATGGGATGAAATTATATTTGATCATGAGTCATGTTTGCTCTGGCATTCCCTGACTTCTGAAGACTTCCCGGGATAGTTACATACAGAGATGATATTAAATAAGGGAAATGAAGGGACGAAGCATGTAATCGGTTTTGGTAGAAAAGATCTAATCCAGAAATGGGGGAAGTTCTGTAATTGCTAGGACTGAAGCGTTAATGGGAGTCGAAAGTAATCAATGGGAATCGCACAGATCCTCTGCTCTTGGTCTCTTGTAGCTCAGTCTGCTACACCCTGAGGTTCCTGAAGCTTACATGCTCCAGAGCCTTGTGTTCTTGGACCCATAGCCCTGGAGCGTACTTAGCAGTTCCTGGGAAAAGCCTCTGAGGAGAGGGGGTGGAAACGGAGGTGGTGGTTTGCTCTGCTTGGTGTTTGGTGCTGGGATAATTCTGCTTCTGTGAAGTCAACATTCTCTGTGAATCCTTGTCATTTTGGAGGAAGGCTGCACATGCCAGCGCAGAGGAGCGGTGCCTGCTGGCTTGCAGGCTTCCTGGAAGGGCACATAGCAAAACTGAACGTCCTGGCTGCATCAGCTGGAGGGAAAGACCCAGCTCTGCCTGGGGAGAAGCTGCTCAGCAGGTTTCTGGGCTAGGGCTGCTCCCCACAGACAGCAGTTGTGGCTCCTCACACTGCCACAAACCCCTTGGGCTGGCTAAGCGCTGAGCCAGGCACCTCCTCTCCGCCGCTGAGGGCTTTGGGTGCTCCTCTGCCAGGCAGTATTTCACTGGGCTTATTTCCTCGCAGTGTCACATTTCCTTGTCCCTCCGGAAGAAGGAATTGAGGCCACCCTTCTGCAGCTGGTGCTTCTGGAGCTGAGCTGGAACTGGTGACGACAGACTGAAGAAGCCAACGAGGCAGCCTGGGCCTGTGCTGCGACCACCTCTCTCCCCATCTCCTGGAGGTGCAGAATGACTCTCTTTGATGGCGTCTACCCCTTCTACCCGCAGCAGAGGAAGAGCTTTGTGTTCGATGTCAGCACCATCATTGTGGTTATCGTCTTCCTGACGCTGGCTTCCACCTTCCTGCTCATCATCCCGGGCATCCGTGGACGGGCGGTGCGTGATCCTTCTCCCAGGGATAAGCATCCATTCTCCGTGTTCTGGATGCCAGGGTGACCCCGGCTGGCTCAGGGTGAGGCAGGAGGAAAGCCCGGGGCTGTTCTCTGTGCCTGACATCCCATCTCTCTCTACACAGAGACTGTACTGGATGGTCCGTGTTCTCTTCAGCTTGATGGTGGGAGTAGTGATTGTTGGTAAGTGCTGCAGCCCCTCCAAGGGCAATTCTGAGAGTAAGATTTGGCCCTGGGGCAGGGTCTGGGTCCAGTATGAGTGATGGCTTGGCAGGAGCTGGTTCCCCTACCCCTGCTATGCAAAACAGCAATGCAGCTCTCAGGTGGGCTCCCTTATCATTTGAACCATATTATCATAAAATCATTATGGTTGGAAAAATCACTAGGCTCATCTAGTCCAACCATCAACCCATCCCCACCATGCCCTCTAACCATGTCACATCTTCATGGTTCCTGAACACTTCCAGGGATGGTGACTCCACCGCCTCCCTGGACAGCATGTTCAGTGCAGTACCACTCTTTCAGAGAAGAAATTTTTCCCAATATCCAACCTGAACCTCCCCTGGTGCAATGTGAGGCCATCAGCTCTCATTCCATCACTGTTACCTGGGAGAAGAGGCTGACCAACACTTCACCACAACCTCCTTTCAGGGAGTTGTGGGGAGCGATATGGTCTCCCCTGAGCCATCCCAGCTCCCTCAGCTGCTCCCCATAACTCTTGTGCTCCAAAGCCTTCACAACTCTGGGGTTGAGGGTCCCAACACTGAGCACAGCACTGGAGGTGCAGCCTCACCAGTGCTGGCTATAGGGGGATGATTACCTTCCTGCTCCTGCTGGCTGCACTATTTCTGACACAAGCCAGAATGCTGTTGACCTTCTTGGCCACCTGGGCACACTGCTGGCTCATGTTCAGCTGAGGGTCAAACAACAGCCTCAGATCCTTTCCTCTGCACGGCTTGCCAGTCACTTTGCCCCAAGCCTGTAGCAATGCCTGGGGTCGTTATGGCCGAACACAGGACCCGACCTTTGGTCTTGTAGCTCATTCCATTGGCCTCAGCCCATCAATGCAGCCTGTCCAGATCCCTCTGTAGGGCCTGCCTGCACCTAGGCAGATCTACAATTTCTCCCAGCTTGGTGTCATCTGCAAACTTACTGAGGGTACACTCAGTTCCCTCACCCAGGTCACTAATGAAGATATTAAACAAGGTTGACCCCGATACTGATCCCAACACAAGGGCTGCGAGCACTTGACGTGCCCATGTGCACTTCTGAGTATTTGCCTGTTCTGATGGCACTGAGGAGCCCCACGTTTCTCCAGCTGCACAGCCCAATGCCAAGGGAGCATGGATAAGGAGCTTGGACAGCAGCCAGACAAATTTAGAGCCTTGCAGTGATGGAGAGAGAGTAAGACAAAACAAAATATAGTCAGCATGGAAGTAGGGGGTAGAGACTTTCCAAGGCGGGAGATGAAGGAGAGAATTTGATTGGGCAGAGAGCAGGAAATCTTCTGAAATTAATGGGACTAATACTTGGAAACAGCAAGGTCCAGACTGTGGGCATCTCAAATTTGGACAGAGCTGCAGGGTGTATGAGTAGCAGCTGCAGGGAGAGGAGGGAAGATGATGGGCAGGGAGAGCAACCAGTCCTGACCCTAAGTCAAGGAAACTCTCCAGGAGCCCTCCAAGGAAAGGTTTTAAAGGCCAGGACAGATAACAAACAAAAAGCCACTTGGAGTAAGATGGTGAGGCGCAACCTAAATGACGAGCCCTAGGTCAACTCGAGGTTAGAAGTACATAGCCAGAGTGTGACTGGCCATAGCACTCTGCTGCCTGACGCATGGCTTGCAGGGCCTGGTCTGACTGCAGTGGTCACCCTCTGCTCAGAAATATCCAGGCACTGGGTGATGCTACCAGAAGTGCCAGGCTGCAGCTGATGGAGGGGTGGGGACAGCAGCTTGCTCCACAGCCTGAGCCAGTTCAGCCCTTGCTCAGCCCTGGAGAACCATCCAGCACTGCTCTCTGGACAAGGATGCAGCCAAGTGCTGCTTGGATACGCAAGAGGAATTGATTGTTTTAAAGCCAGCGTCAGGATTTCTGTCCAGAGGCAGAAGGGCACACAGTGTTGCAGCCAGGAAATGTCCCCGTGAAGCTGCTGCCGGATCAGTGCTCTCACAAGTTGACCCAGCTTGCATTCAGGCAGATTTGAAAGGTCTTGTTCAGCCTGAGGATCAGTCCTCACCTTTAATTTCAGCTCACATAATTGCCAGAAAATTGAGTCCATCACAAAGTGAAAGTGTTTCAGAAAACTTTTTTTTTCATAAAAACATATAGCAGAAAGGATTTCAATTCTTCCTTCTCTCCCACTGACCATCCTGCTCCACCATTTCTATTTGACAAAAAATCCAGTGAATTTTTATTATTCACTAACACTCTGATCAGCTGCTTAACAGGGAGCTTAATAATGGCAATGAAACTCACCCTGCTGCTGGAGCTGAGGAATGGGCTCATTTCTGAGCCTGATCCCCCGGGGCCGCGGTGCTTGCCATGGTGGGGAGCGCATGGGGAAGCGCCAAAGAGGATGGCCGGAATGGATTCAGGCTGTGGGGATCGGAGCTCCCCGCCTGTGGGACCAAGGGGGTGGATGCTGAGCAAGAGGAGGAGAAGAGCTGTGCCAGGGCGTGGGGCTGGTTGTGGCACGTCTTTGTGGCTGAGTCATCTCTCCTGCCCTTCTTACATTCCCTGGCGGTGTCGCAGTGGGAATGTGCTTGCCCTGGGTCCACCCTGAGCTCAGTAAAGCCCTGGAGCAACCCCTCTTTAACCCTAATCAAACTTTCTCTGGCAGTTGTCCAGTTCACGGGGGACTGGGAGAGCGGCTGGGTGACAGCCAACACCTCCTACAAATCCTTCAGCCTCGCCGTGGTGAACGCGGACATCGGGCTGCACGTCGGCCTGGCAGGGGTGAACATCACACTGGTGGGTGAGTGCCATGTCCCTTTCTCTTCAGCCCCAGCTCTGCAGAAACCATGGCTATAGGGGGTCTCCAAGAGCTTTTTCGATGGCCTTGTTTTTACTGGAGGCTTCTGGACAGCCTCTTGTCGTCAAGACGCTCCTGGCTGTCAGTGCCCATTCTATTGGGACGCAGCAGGACCTTAGTCCTCTTCCTCTGGCAGGAAACCCAGTGAATCAGGTCAACGAGACCATCAACTACAACGAGCACTTTGCCTGGAGCTTCGATGCAGACTACGACCACAGCTACAGCGAAGGCCTGGAGAAGGGGCTGCCCAGCCCCATCCTCTACGTGGCGGAGAAGTTCACCACACACAGCCCCTGCAACGTGCACAGGCAGTACCGCATCTCCAGCCACTACGCATCAGCCAGTCTGTGGTGAGGCCTTGGGTAGAGGTGGTGAGCGGTGGGTGGCGATTGCAAGTTGCTATAAGGAGAGCCATGTGTGTGGAGGGGGCTCTCTGAAGTCTGCTTTCAGACCTCTGGCCCTGTGCAAGGAGCAAGAGCTCCTGGACCACAGCTGAAGGCTTCCCTTGTAACCTGGCTCCTGAGGCAAGTTCAGAGCTACTTCAAACAGCTTGAATCTACTTCTACAGGTGTCTCGGTCCCATGTGCTGCTCTCTGTGGTCTGCCCTGCACTTAGGCGGGCAGGGCGCTGAGATGGTGTAGATGTGCAATCTGTGCTTTTGCTTTCTGGACATAGCAGTATGAGCGTTGCACATCTCCCTGCTTAGCCTGGGAGACAGGGATCACTCCAGCCTGCCCACAGAGTTTCTTAACCTCATGCAGTGCAACCAAGAGCCCAGATCTCTCTTCCCACCTGGAAATCCTCATGTAGAGCATCCTATTCAGTGGCACTTGCACATCTTGTCCATTGGTCTTCTCTTGTCTGTAGGGTGGCCTTTTGCACTTGGCTCATCTCCAACATGCTCTTCTCCATGCCTGTCCTAGTCTACGGAGGGTACATGATCCTGATCACAGGGGCCTTCATGATCTTCTCACTGCTCTCCTTCTCCACTGTGAGGAACTCCCTGGTGTGCCCAATCCAGTTTGGGACCACATCCCTGCAGATAGGCTATGGGGGATCTTTCTGGCTCACACTAGCAGTTGGTAAGTACATCAAGCTACTTTAGGTCCACCGCTATGACCCCTGGGTGTGCAAGAGCCCCAGGGCTTTCTCTTCACCACTGGAGGTGAGGAGCTTGGGACTGCAGCCCTGTTTAGGCTTACCCTGTGTCTTGACACAGCGGCTCCCAGCAGAGATACAGAGAGGGCTGGCAGAACTGGGAGAAGCATCACTGTCTTGAGGGTGATGGAGAGATTTTTAGCTCCTGAGTTGCAGCAGAAGAATTGGGGATCAATTGGCTGAGTTTTAAGACCTGTTCTTGGATTTATGGTGGTCGACACAGCAGCTGAAACCACCTCATAGAGTAGAAGGCCATCTTCTGTAAGAGAGGGTGTCCCTTGGTTCGAGGCCATTGGAGTATGGATATGGGGTAGGAAATGTGCTGACATTTACAGGATTGCTCACGGAGAACATGTTGTTTTCCAGGCTTGCTCTGTTTTGTGGCTGGGATCACTGTTGTTGCACTGCACTACTTCAACTCTGACCTACTGAAAACTTTCTTTGATCTCCATGTGGACAAAGCAGAGGACTATCGAGAGATGACTGAAGTGTATGTCAACCTTCGGTTCATGAACAGTACTCTGTCTCCTCCTCAACCCTACAAACTTACCCCTGATGACATCTAGAAGAAAAGTTTTCCTACTCCTTACCTGAAGGCAGGACTAAGAACACAGAGCACAGACCCTTCCTGATGTCTCTTGACACTCATCTACCCATCTAGGGGACTTTGAAGAGTGCATAAGTCCACGTTAGGATGAGGACTTGCTCAGAACTGCCTTTGCAATCCCTGATTTCCTCTCTAGGACAAGGACAGCTTTGCAGTGAGCCAGCAGGCTGCAGGCAGTATAGCTCAGACCTCCAGCAACCTGAGCTGCACACTCAGCTGGTTGAGGAGTAGCCCCCACTCCTGCTCTATGCCCTGCCACAGCTTGGTGCAGGGGGTTTCTGATGGCCAGTTCCCATACCAGTGGGTGAGATTTCCCATAGTGATTTCTCTTTGAGGATGCTCACTACTCCAATAGCCAGCAATCAAACACGCTCAGTCTTTCTTTTCCCAAGCACTGACGTCTAGTGTAGACCTTCAGATGTTCCTAGGAAAGCCAGGCACAGACCCAAACTCCCTCAGGCTGGATGCTGTGTGAGCCAGAGTATAAAAGATGGCTACAGAATTAAAGATTAAGTAAACATACTGAGGAGCTTGCCAGGGGGAATGTGGTGATGTGATTATTTTCACTTTCAGACTTGGGTTTTATTCGATAAGAATTGTAGCCTAACACGGGCCAAAAAGATGTCATGGGAAAGACGGGAGAGAGAAGAGTGCAATTACACCCATTCTCTTGGATGGGCTCTATTCAAGTGGAGCACACTTGGGCTGGCTGTGCTTATCACAAAATGCAGCCTTGAGTCCCACCAGTGGCATTCTTCCATGGGGTGGCTGCCCTGACGGAGGCATCCCCAGAAAGGATGAGATTCAGCATGAATAAATGATGTCTTTGAGAAACTTTGGGGTTGTGTGGCCCCTAGGCTGAACTGCTGCAGGTCCTGCCTCTTCCACCCATTGCTGAACCCGGTTTCCTGGCTGAGCCAAGATGCTGTTGGACAGTGAGACACAAAGTAATTGCCAGCAAAGCCTTGGCTCTCAGCCCAGTCTTTCTGATCCCATGCTACGCAGACCTGGCCTGTTGGACACAGGGAATCTGGCCAGACAGCCTGTGCCAGTAAACTGAGCAAGCACCACAAAATGCGCCTGGGGCTCTGCGAGGATCATGGTCCTCCTGCCCAAAGGCACACAGTGCCCTGGGACATGCGGCCACCACACCACTTGGCAGGCACCAGAGCTGCCCACTGACCTGCTGCCAGGATGGGCTGCAGATGGGGACACACCGGGAAAGGCAGAGATTTACGAGGGCTGAATTTTCGTTCAACGGATAGAAGGCTTCTGTTTCACCTTGGATCTTTAGGCTGAAGCATCTCCTAGTAGCTGCCATAGGGCATCTACTTCCTAGCTGAAGTTTTGAAAACTCAAGGAGTTCCATTCTGACACATTTCTAAATGCCTTAAGGTCCTTGTTGAAGTGCTTTCCGTCTGGAGAGGGATGGGAGGAGTTACCATGCCTGAGCACCCCTTCCCTGAGGGCACAGCACAATGGTCTTCCCTCTGCTGGTCTGGGGATTCTCTCATCAAGACCTCCTCATGTCCAGGGCCACTCCAACCTTCCCATATCCTGGTTGATTATTTGCTTGGGGATTCTCTGATACTCTACTTACCATTTGCCCCTACTGTCTCGAGCTAATTAGCCACTGTCAGATGTCCTGTGAGGCCACAACAACGCTGTCACTTCTTCCCTTTCCTATGATCATCATGTCAAAGGATCAGCATATCCCCAGCCTATCAGCACTCAGAGGGATTCTTTTAATGACACGCAAGAGTAAGATCAAGTCCAGCTTTCTTTATTGAGACAGAAGGGACAGTAAGTGAGTACAAAACAGAAAAATGTTGTTGCACTGCACAGATTTAAAGGGATGCAAACCTGAAATACACACCCTGCATGACCAAGGTACCTGCTACCAGCAGCCAAGAGGAGTTGGCCGCATCCACTGTGGGTCTGTAGGTTAACATATTTGCATGCTCCGTAACAAGTGGGCAGCTAAGCACCATGAAACCAGGTACTTCTAGGTACTCTCCTCCTGCAAACTGTTTACAGACAGTGACGGGGGAACCGGGGCATGCACTTCCATCCCCTCTTCCTCCTCCCCACCCACCAAAACATTTTATCTTCCTTTCAGAAGGCCACAAGAGTCTTGGTAAGTCACATTTTGTGATCTTCAAACTGATGTTTTTGCCTTTGACATCTGGTATGTATCTTTGACATCCCTCCAAGGTTTAGTATCTCTGATATCTGGGAGGTGTCTAGGGTTTGGTATCTCTGACATGCAAGAATTCTGCAAGACTTGGTGCCTCCAACATTTAGGATGCCTCCAAGGTTTGGTACTTTCAACATTGAAGAAATCTCCAAGGTTTGGTACAACCAACATCCCACTAATACATGGGATTCCTTGCCAATCCATCCTTCACTCCAGACCAAGAGCATGTGCTGAATACAGGGTACTTTAGTGCCCACAGCTCTGCTTTCTTCTCCACCTGTTGTTGGGAAGAGCATTGTTGGGCAGAGTGGGCTTCTGGCGGACCTTTTGGGGTAAGTGTGCTACTGAGCGTGTAGGGGTTGCTTCTCCTTTGGTTCATACTTATGTGTTTATTATATATATTTGATTTCTCTCCAGTTTCTTTTGGTTTAGCTTCCGCATCAAGGAGATCTCCGAGACCATGTTGCTTTTGCCTCACAGGTTGGTGGCTGTCACCTCATGGAGCTCACCCAAGGACACCATCAGTATGTCCTGCTCAGAGGAGCTGGACTCGGCTGGCAGGTGGGACTTGTCCCACCCTTCTACTTCTCTCTTTCCCTCGTCCAGGTTGAAAACAAGCTTCAGTTTCTGCGGGCGCACAGAGTTGAGAACAATCACACCCAGCCCCAGAAGCAGGCAGAACAGCCCTGAAACACACAGCATGGAGAGATGCATTGTCCCCAAATGCACTCCAGGCCCATCCAGCCACAGACGTAGGGATGGGGACCAGAGGGGATAGAAGCCAGTGGGATATGGCATCACATGGGAGGTCAAAGGAAGGGATTATTTCTGTTCCCAGTTTCCTACAGCAGCTCTACAACTGGGCTCTCCAGTACAAAAAGAAGTTAATAAGCTGTGGCAGAGGGCTAGACCTTTAGGTCTAAAGCCCACCATGTATGGGGAATGGTTGGAGGAGGTAGGTTTGTTTAGCCAGGAAAGGAGAAGCCTTCAGGGGGACCTAATTGCCACCTTCTGCCAATGAGTGGAATAGCCGTGGGACATCCCCGAGAGGCGGAAAGGACCATTCATGGTCCTGAAAGGCAAAGGGTTGATGCATGGGTACATCAACTAGAAGCCTGAACAAGGCCCTGGACAACCTGATGAGGCTTTGACATTAATACTGCCGCATGAGAGATCCCAGAAAGTCCTTCCAAACTAAGTCTCTCCCTGATTTTATGACTCAAGACACAGATTATTTTGGTCACTCATATGAGAGCGGATGAAGTACCGCTGAGGTATTATTGCTGCAGGAATGGAGACCAAAAGCCCCAGCTAAGCACTCACCTGTTGTTAATGTCAGCCAAAAAGATCTGCCGTAATCTGTTTTCAGGGAGGCTGGCCCAAACTGGATGGGACACTTTGGGATGTTCCTCACCGTGACGAAGAAGAGCAGTGAGAAAAGCATCAGCACGGCAGTGAGCAGGAGCATGTAGCCACCATAAAGGAGGACGGGCATGGAGAAGAGCAGGATAGAAATGAGCCAGGTGCATAAGGCCATCCTACAAAAGGATCACAAAACTGAGCTGAAAGCACTGTACGTGGGCATGTCAGTTCCTGCAGTGGTGAAGAGGGCTCTTCATACCTGGGGACATTCAGCACCGAACTACTTGAGACTCTGATATGTTTACTCTGCACAAGGGGCTCAAGTGGAGACCTCCAAAGGGCCCCTTTCAAATTGTACCTTTCTCTGGCCCTGTAGTCCTTCGTAACTGGCCAGCCCCAGGTGTTTCCTATCTATTCAAAGGGAAAAGGGCAGCCAAGGAGACTTCTGTTGGAAGAATCACACCATGAGCCCTGCCCGCATCTGATTCAGCAGCTGCAGTGAGCACAGCTCTCAGCCTTGCCCTGTGCATAGGGCTTGGGTTTAGCTTATTGGGGAGGTGAGTCTAAGAAATTGTTCTGAATCCAAGAACAATAAGGCAGAATCACTTGAAATCAACGTCCTTGCCTTGAGATAACCAGTTCTCAATGACAGGGAGGTTTGGGCACAGCCTGTTATTTTTCTCGATCATGAAGAAGGAGACAAGGGCTGGGCCTGGCTGCTGACACACCTGTGAGGAATGCCAAACCACTCTTCTCTGCAGCATCTTTCCCACGACCTCTGAGACATGTGGAGATGCTCTCAGACCTTTCTACCTACAGCTGAGCAGAAGCAGAACTTACCCCTTGTTCCGCCTTACCACAGCGTAATGGATGCATAGCGGCTGGAGATGCGGTACTGCCTGTGCACGTTGCAGGGGCTGTGTGTGGTGAACTTCTCCGCCACGTAGAGGATGGGGCTGGGCAGCCCCTTCTCCAGGCCTTCGCTGTAGCTGTGGTCGTAGTCGGCATCGAAGCTCCAGGCAAAGTGCTCGTTGTAGTTGATGGTCTCGTTGACCTGATTCACTGGGTTTCCTGCCAGAGGAAGAGGACTAAGGTCTTCTCCCAGCCTTGGAGGCAACTCCAAGAGTTCCCAGTATGCATGCCCACTACCTGGGTGGACAGTGGCCAAACTTGTGTCCGATATCTTTGTGTTGTGATAGACACTCACCCACCAGTGTGATGTTCACTCCTGCCAGGCCGATGTGCAGCCCAATATCCGCATTCACCACGGCGCGGCTGAAGGATTTGTAGGAGGTGTTGGCTGTCACCCAGCCGCTCTCCCAGTCCCTGGTGAACTGTATGGCTGTAAAGATAATGGGTTAGCTATGTCCTGGTGAGCAGACCTCTTAGGGACAATGTATGCTGGAAGGACATACTGTGAGTGTCACCAAACAACATTCCAAAGGCAAGGCCTGGTTTATAAGCAGGATTTTGAGCAGAGAAGCATGGTCCATGCATGTACCTCCCCCAGCACCTACCTACTTCCACAGGAGCCCCATTGGGGATTGTTTCTCCCCATGCTCAGCTCAGTTCCCAGTCCTAGAGGCAATGGGGCTTGTGAACACCATCCAGGCACTGATCTTCTTCTAACTACAGCCAGTTTGTCTGGGTCTCCTGGCAGATAGGAAACCAGTAGTGGTCCACCAACTTTTGGAGAGGAGGTTTCTGAGTGTCTGTGCTTCCTATCATTGCTAATCCTAGAAGCCTTCAGACATAAGATTTGAATTTCAGGTAGTTCTGTGTGGAGCCAAGAGTTGGACTAGATGACCCTTGTGGGTCCCTTCCACCCTGGGATATTCTATGGTTGTCTTGCTGGGCTCAGATCCTGGGCACTGAAGTGGGTTGATCTTCCCTGTGAGCTCATCTTGCAAGATGGACTCAGCTGTTCTGTTCATCCTCCCACCTTGCTCCTCCTTGCTCTCCTTGTCTGTCCTTGCACTCCTTATCCCCACCTGTCTCTGAACACACTGAGACCCCCATACTCACTGAGGACCACTGCTCCAATGAAGAGGCTTGTCACCACCCGCAAGAGCCAGAAGAGCCGCTGCAAGTGGAAAGCAGAGTTGGGGATACACTCAGATTTTGTGACATGGAGCTCAGCTTTGATTAAGTACCACCAGAAATAGACCCCTCTCTCACTTGGGGAGCAACCCCATGGGCTCCACAGGTGAGTAGGACAGGGGAAAGACCCATGGCTTGGGCA